ATTTCCCTTCCACCGATCCTTCCATTTGTGTCTGCTTGGTCCTCCTCACCTTATCATTTCTCTCCCAAGAGATCCCTCTGAGAATCTGATGAAAACCTTCAACTCTACCTTTCCTCCCATCATCATCCAGTTGCTCAGAGTGCAGACTCCAGAACCAGACCCCCTGAATTCCAATTGGTTTCCTCACTTGTTAGCAGTTTAATATTTGGAAATTATTTACCCTTTATTCTGAGCTTTTGATTTGTGGATCTATGCATACCACCCCTCTCCCATGCTCCCATGACTCCAAACATATAAACACAGTTGCACTCTCTACTTTATTTTGAAGACTTTGTCATTATCTTTCCCAGTAGAATCAACCTGTCTATGTTTTAAAATGGGTCAATTTTTTCCAGCTATGTGGCCTTGGGAAAATTACTCAAGTTCCTTATGGAAGTTATAAAGTACGGGCAAATACAGTAGTTTCCTCATACTGCTGTTGTGAGAACTGAGTTAATACGTGCAAAGCTTGAACAATCCTAGCTCATAGTAAGCATTAGGTAAAGTCCCCAAGAAGACTCTGAAAATGCTGGTTTCTGCCCTCATTTCTCTGTCCCTGATGTTATTTGAATAGCCCTCCTCTATGCTCTGCTAGTGATCTAGTGCCCTGGACTCACCTCTAGCAACCTATCCTGTAATACAGTTAGTTGTCTGTTTACCTGTCTTTCTCTCAAGGAAACCGTAGGTTTCTGGAAGCCACAGACTAAACTGCTTTACTCCTTACTCAGTGACTTAAATAGTATCTGACACATTACAGGAACTCAACAACTATTTGTTAAATTAAAATAGATGCATATCCTTATCTCCCAGAAGATCATCTGAAACAGAGTAAATGTTTTATAACTATTGTTTTGAGTGAATAGGTAAATCAATGAATCATATCTTGGTACAGTCATAACGCACTCCAAACTGATTTTGACAGCTACACTCTTCAGTTTGTGTAATTCTATGATGGACCCTGAGTACTACTTTCTTTCTGCTTTCTTTAATTTTCTTTCTTTCCCTTTGCATTTGTATGCTTTGTCAGTAAATAAATTCTTTGACACATAATATAATATTAAACTCATGTGTGTGCAACATATTGAAAATATATAGCCAACTCTGGACAGATGGCGGGTGAATGTTTGGTAGTTGGGACACCTGAAGTATCCTTAGTATCTTTCCCAAAAGAAATCCAACCCTTGTTTCCATGCTGTTATCAATATAAACTATTTCCAGCAATAAGTGTAAACAGTTAAAAAAAACATGAAGAAATCAGCTCACCTTTGATGCTGTGATAACATTGAAGGCAATATATCTTTAGCGGGTAGTGTTTCTAAGAATAAATGTGACCAAATGTTTGCAGACAGAGATTAAACAAAAATAGATGTGTTACTGGAAGCCTTTCAAAATGGGTGCGATTAAGTTTGAAATAACTATTTACCTAAGATACCACTATTGCCTACTTGGAATAAGAAAAGGAAAGTTTGGTGAATTATTTCAGAAAATAAACACTTATTGTACCTAGTTTAAATGTATCTCAGGATATTAAATGTTTTAGTAGGTAAAGTCCTGTGAAATGAAACAAAAATGCTCCCAATATACAAAGATGAATTTATAGTTCATTAGTGCCTAAGGCTAACTAGAAGGCTGGTGGTCCAAACCCACCAGCCACTCCTTGGAAGAAAGATTGGGCAATCTAGTTCTATATGGATACTGTCTTGGAAACCCAAGGAGGGGTCATTATGAGTGGAATCCACTCACCAGCAGTGAGTTTGGTTTTAGTTTTTTTTTTTGTTTGTTTTATCCAAACAAATGTTTGGAGAAAAGGTAAATTTCTAGCCAGCATTTCCCAGAAACACTTTTACCATATACCCTTATTGTGTTATTAAAAACTCTAAACCAAACCAAAACAAAACAAAACAAACACTACCATCGAGTCAATTCCAACTCATAGCAACTGTCATTGGGTTTCCAAGGCTATAAATCTTTATGGAAATAGGTTGCCTCATGTTCCTCATGAAGCAGATGGTGGGTTTGAACCATCAACATTTTAGTTAGAAGCCAAGTGCCTTACCTATTATGCTACCAGAGCTCCTTATAAACACTCTAGAAGGTATAAAAACAAAGACAACTACAATTAATTGAGCAAGAGTTATGGATAGACATAGATGTTATGTGTTTAATACAAATATCTTTTAATTTTTGATACAAACCCACCACGTAAATATAATCCCATTTGAATAGTAAGAAAACTGAGGTTAAAAGAAATGCTTAGATGATTGTCAACAATCAGAAACTCTAGGGCATGTTTGGTAAAGTAGAGGATCAGCAAAAAAAACTGGAAGATCCTCAACAAAACAGACACAATGGCTGCAACGATGGGCTCAAGGATTGTGAGCACAGCGCATGACCGGAGAGTGTTTCATTCAGTTGTACATGGCATGGGGTCCTATGAGTCAGAGTCGACTCCATTATACCAAACAACAACAATAACACAGCATCATATTCAATATTTTCCATGAAAGAAGTTTTGCTTATAGATAGCACTTAACAAATGCGTGTTTAATTGCATTGTCACTTGAGGGAGAAAGGTAGTAAAGTATATCACCTATTTCTTCAGTATTATGCTTTTTACATTTATATGCAGCATCTAAATTAATCCTGTCTTTATTACTGTGAAGTAAATAGAATTATGCTTGTTTTATAGATGATGAAACAGCTTTGTAAAGGCTAAAAATGAATTGCCAATGACAAAGTAAACTCACTAAAAAACGTCTTCTCTTTTGCTGTCTCGTTACCTGCAGGCTCTCTCCACAAATGACTGGGACCAGTTGGAAGCAGATAACCCTCCGTGTCAATTAACCTTTTGGCTTTTTGCCTTACGATGCAACTCATGATGTTTTTTTCGAAACTTGCAGAACTTCACTCATTTAGTTTTAAAAATAAACATTTTAGAAAAGTTGATGCACTTGTGGTGTTTTGATTTGGGAATATGTACATATAAGTAAATCTAAAGGTAAAATATTCCCATATAATCCTTTGATAAATAGTAAATTCATGTGAGCAATGAATGTTTTGACCAGAGAAGCAGGTAAAGGTGTGACTTGTGTGCTATTAAAATTACAAGGAAAGAATTCATTTTACTGACCACATGCTATTTATATTTTGCAACTTTGTGAGAGGCAAATTGAGCAAATTCTCGGTGCCTAATGATGCACCCAAACTACAAACCTAGCCAAATATCAGCATTTTAAAGCCACTTTCTCTTCCTTCAGAGTCCCAAGACAGATTTATTAGGCTAATACTCAGAAAAAAGTTAAAATATTATAAGTGGGAGGACATATGAGCTCTGTGAGAATCACCAGCACTGAATATCTCTAAAATCAAGGGAAAAAAACTACTCCACTCCATGTGCTTTAAGTCTCAGGATGATAAGAAAAATATGTTTTAAACTTTCCTTGAACATAGTCAGCTCAATTGGAAAATAGATATGTCTCATATTAATACTTAATTTCTAAATACTCATGAGTTCCATTAAAATTCTCTGGCAAAATTCTTCCATGCTTTCTGTCCAGTGGACTCTAATTCAAAGTTTTGGAAGGCTCTGACTGATTAGCAGGTTTTTTCTTTCTCAATCACTTTATTGAGCACGCCCAAAATGGAACTCTGGGAACTCACTGTTTAAAAAAATATCACTTTACAAAGTATATTAAAGGCTTGTTTAGACTATCTGAAGAAGATATAACTCAAGGTAATGGAGTGAAATAGAGATATGTGAAATGTCTTTAAAACAAGATCACTTAATATGGAATTATCATTTTTATCCATATCTATACATGAAAGTATGCAATTGAGCTAATTTTCTATATAACTAACTCAAGTCCAATGTTAAATTAAAGGAGCTTCCACATATGTACATTCCCCGTGCACAAATGAACAATTACGTAAGTGGCCCAAAAGCCACAGCTTAATGACAATCATCACTTTCAAATGTAAGTGGTATGCTTATCACTATTTACAATTCCATTTTCACTGAGTTTAAGGTTCATTAGAAAGCGGAACTATAGAAGATGATGATATCAAGCTCCAAATTTTCAAGCATTCTACTGAAACTCAGGAGAGGTTCCCCTTGAAGTGGGCAGGTGCACAGAAAGGCACTTGGTTAAATAATTGCTGGATGGATGTATGAATAGATGGATGAATGTCTTCTAAAGAGACACAGCCCTTTAGATTTTTCCAATAGTTAAATGGTTCAAAAACATTTAACAGTATCAAAATTTTATGATTTTTCCACCGTTTTAAGGCATGAAAATATAAGTGTGCTTAGATGCCTGTGTTAAATCCTCTCTGCATTAGGCTAAACACAAACAATCTCAATAAATACTTTCAAATAACAGTGATCTGGTCTCATTTACAACAGCATATGGAAACTGTCTTTATCTCCTTTCTCTTGCAAGTAACTCTCCTTCTATCTCCTCCCAAATTAAAAACACACAAAGCTAACGTTAGCAGGGAACTACCCAGAACTCTTAACAAATCTTTAATACTGGCTAATTTCTGTCCTATATGGTTAGATGTCTAACACCAAATATTGATTTATGACAACGTAATAGATTTTATCTCACATGGTTAAAAAGACCAAGAAAGAAAGAAAGAAATATATATATATATATATATATATATATATATATATTTAAAAATTTTAAAAAAAAAACAAGAAAGCTCTTTTAGAAAGGTATTGCGGATTTCACCAATTCAAATTTATAAATTCATTGTCTGAAGTTAAAATATGACATAATTGTTTGTGGAAACTTCATAAACATTATATGAAATTGACAATTGTCAATGACAACTAAGCATAAAAGTGTTTGGGTTGTTTTTTACACAGCAACCAATACAAAGTATAGAGTTAAATGGAATTTATACTTTCCCATGCTAAATAAATATTTACAATATCAAAGTGAGGGAGAAACTCTTACCACCTTCTTTAGTGCAAAGGTTGACGAGGTTGTGGACTGTGTCCATCAACTCCAGCTGCTGCTTCTGTAGGACACTGTTATTGGTAGTGGCTCTGTTTAATTGTTTTTCCAGCTCTTGGATTATGTAGGTCTGACGAGTAACCAAGACTTGAAGGTTCTCTTTCTCTTCCTTTAACGCGTCCAACTCTTCCTTATGTTTTCCCTCCATTTCTAAGATTTTATGTTCTAATAGACTACAAGGAAGTGAAAATAAGATTTAGTTTTGAACATGGTATACAAAAATTGTGATTCAACTATTTCTTGAGTTTTTGGAAAGTTTAATTAGTAATTTCACCATGGAAATATTTTTCAAGTAAGAGATTCAAGAATACATTAAAAAATAGGATATATATATATATATATATACACACACACACACATATATATATAAACATATTACATGGAAAATTATTAGACCAGATGTTGTCAGAGAAATGTTTATTTCTTAAATATGATTGATTTCCTGCGGTTTATCTGCAGCAATTACAGTCTGGAGAAGTTATGGTATAACTTTCTCTAAGGAAATGAGTCCAATAAGAAACAGAATACAGTAGTTTGGAAAATACATGAACATAATATAGTAACTATTTTCATTCATTTGGGATTCTCAAAACATTAAAGAGTTGATTAATTTTCACAATAACTGTGGATACAGGAAATAATAGATTTACAGAAACATAGGACCAGGAATTAACCTGTCCAAAGACATAAAAAGTTAGAATTATTTGGATTTATTATCTCTGATCCTACATCCTAACCACTAGTTTAGCTTATCTCTCAACCTGAGGTTAAAGATGAAGCTTAAAGATATCAAAAATAACTAGAAATGGTTCATAAAACGAAGGTTCCATCAGGCTGGAAGCATGGTCTTACACAAGGATTTGGGATGCTTTTCTGACACTGATGCAACCTTTAACTGAGAAACTTTCTTCCCTCAAAATTTTTGAAAGATACTCCCTTTGCATATTGCACATTGAAAATGATAGAAAACGCAGAAGCCCTCTTGGATCCTAGCAATTGACGAGGAATAAAAAGTATTTACATTTTATAGAGTGTCTAATATACTGGTATTCCTCAGGGTTAAACCTAACTCAGTTTTCTCAGTTGCATTTTCAGAAAGTTCAACCAACCCTTAGTTTACAACGTGTTACTCAAATGTAACAAAACTGGCTGTGTGTTCAATTTACTTTGGAGAAACGTAGCACTGAATCATTCCTGTAACTTTTTAAAAAGCAGACACTAGGGAGTGTTTTAAATTTAATACTTTAATTATAAAATAGAACATGTTTGAAGAGCCAGAATTTCCAACTTGATATATTGCAGAACAAACCAAATACCTGATTATCCTTTACATCGATGAAGAAGTACGTACAGAACTTTTCAGGCACATTCCAAATCCTTACCAACAAACCTGTCCTTTAAGAGTGTGGCAGGACATCTGCCTACTGAGCCATGTCTGAGAAATACCTGGACATTTCTCTGCACAAGAGCCTATTAATTTAACACTACTTGGATAGTGTGCCCAAATTTATATGTGGAATTTTTATATCAAGACTCTGTAGGGACAACTTTGTGGCATGTGCAGAATAAGAAGTTCTAAGTTTCTCTTTGGAGTTGCTTTCACTCTGCTGCTCTTGTTAGGTGCTGTCAAGTTGGTTCCAATTCATAGCCACTCTACGTTTGAGGCCATTTTTGTGGTCGCTGTGTCTCTTCAGCTTATTGAGGGTCTCTTCTTTTCCTCTGACCCTCTACACTGTCAGGCATGATGTCCTGCTCCATGTCCTGGTCCCTCCTGATAACATGTGCAAAGTACATGAGATGAAGTTTCTCCATCCCTGTTTCTCAGAAGCATTCTGCCTGTTCTTCTTCCAAGACAGATTTGTTCATTCTTCTGGCCCTTCATGGTATATTCAATAACTTTGCCAACACCATAATTCAAATGCATCAATTCTTCTTAGGTATTCCTTATTCAATGGCCAGCTTTCACATGCATATGAGGAGGTTGAAAATATCAGGACGTGGGTAGGTGCACTGAGTCAGTCCTCAAAGTGATGTCTTTGCTTTTGAATATTTTAAAGAGGTTTTTCTTTCTGTTTCCCCTCCCCCCAGTAGATTTGCCCATATGTTGCTTAATTTCTTGACTGCTGCTTCTATAGGTGTTGATTGTGGATCCAAGTAAAATAAAAATCCTTGACAATATCAATATTTTCTCTATTTACCATGATGTTGTTAATTGGTATAGTTGTGAGGATTTTTGTTTTCTTTATGTTGAGGTGTAATCTATAATGAATACTGGTCGTTGGTCTTCATCAGTTAAGTGCTTCAAATCCTTTTCACTTTCAGCAAGCAAGGTTGTGTCACCTGCATGTCGCAGGTTAATGAGTCCTCTTTCTTCTTCATATAGCCCAGCTTCTCAGACATATTCTGATTGAATAGGTATGGTGAAAAGATATAACCCTGACAAACATCTTTCCTGATTTTAAATCACACAACATCCCTTTGTTCTGTTCAAACATCGGCCTCTTGTTCTATGTACACGTTCCCCAGGAACACAGTTAAGTGTTCTGAAATTCCCATTCTTAGCAATATTATCCATAATCCATGATTCACACAGCTAGATGCCTTTGCATGGTCAATAAAGCACAGGTAAACATTTTTCTGGTATTCTCACTTTCAGCTAAGGTCCATCTAACATCAGCAATGATATACCACTTTCTACTTCCTCATCTGAATCCTGCTTGAATTTGCAGCAGTTTCCTGCCAATGTAGTGCTACAATCATTTTTGAATTATCTTCAGCAAATTTGAATTGTGTGTGATATTAATGATATTTTTAAATAATCCCTGAATTCTGTTTGATCACCCTTCTTTGGAATGGGCACGAATACAAATGTTTTCTAATCAGCTAGCCAGGTAGTTTTCCAAGTTTCTTGGCACAGAAGAGTGAGCACTTTCAAGTTCCGGCCATTTATTGAAACATCTCAGTTGGTATTCTATCAGTTCCTGGGGACTTGTTTTTCAGCACTTCCTTCAGTGCAGGTTGGCCTTCTTCCTTCAACACCATTGGTTCATGAGCATATGCTGCCTCGTGCAAAGGCTGAGCATCAACCAATTATTTTTGGTACAGTGAGTCTGTGTGTTCCTTCCATCTTCTTTAGAGGCTTCCTGTGCCATTAATTATTTTACCCATAGAATTCTTCAGTACTTCAAAGTGAGGCTTGATTTTTTTTTTTCCCCTTCAGTTATTTCAGCTGGAGAAATGATGAGTACATTCTTCACTTTTGGTTTTCTAACTCCACGTCTTGGCACAGAGTAAATTATTATAATGAAATGTGCATTCAGTCTACTGGCCACCAATAGAGAAAGGGCCTTATCTTGTGCTGATCATAAAGCAAATGAAATTTCAGTACATCTCGTTTATAGTGATTTTGGGAAAATGTCTGGTTACTTATATTTTTAAAATCTTTTTTTTGGAAGTGAAAATCTTAGGCAAGGAAGTCAGAGTAAGATGAAAGATGAATTTTCTTCTAAATCTATATCTTCTTGCTAGAGAAGTTTACAATAATATATATATGTGTATATATATACATATATATATATATATATACACACACACATACATACACACACATATATATGGGAGCTCTGGTAGCATAGTGCCTAAGGCACTTGACTGCTAACCAGAAGGCTGGCAGTTCAAACCCACCAGCCACTCCTCAGAAGGAAGGTGGGGCAATCTACTTCCATAGTGATAATGCCTCGCAAACCCAAGGAGGGGTCGCTATGAGTCAGATCCTACCTGATGGCACATAACAACAACAAATATATATACACACACACACACCTGTTGGTTAAAAAAAAGATTATCTCATCTACTGATTGATAAGGTTATTAAGGCTGAGTATATTAAAGGAGGTTTGCTTCATGCGATTATATGCTGCCTTAGATCTGAGGATTAATCTCAACCGATTGTCTTAGATCATTCTTAGCTTACATTCTAATAATTTTGTTCCTATTCCTGGGGTAATGATCAGGTGCACTATGTCTATAATTTAGGGTCATTCAATATATACCAAGGGTGTCTTTTAAATTCACAGTAGTGATAGTATACTCCCAAGAGAGCTTATAACCAACTATTAAAGTTATAACAATATAAAGATCAAAATTCGGATGTTATGTTCATTTAAGGCTGGATAAAATCCTGAACTACCAGTTTCTCCCTGAAATAAGATGAACACTAGTCTTTTAGTTTTCCTAATCAATAGGTAACATCCTGGTTAGGCATTTATTGTTACAGTTGTAACTTATATTTATTAGTTTGCAGTGCCAAAAGTGCACTCAGCACTGTTTAAAATATAGAACAACACTCTTCTTACCCTATGGATTTATTTTTAGATAGAAAACCTCAAGTAAAAAATAGCATATGAAAGCAACTTGTTTCAGGCATTATATATATGGATATGTAGTATGTATGTATATGATGTATATATGTGCATGCATATGTTTATTTTTGCATCAACGATATTTCGCTTTCTATTTTTGATGTGTTCCTTGTTCAAGGGGATATATATTTAAATATGGGTACTATGTGAGATATCAATGAAGGGGTTTCTGTTGTTTTTCAGGATAATTTGGAAAAATCCGAAAATGGAGTGTTGATCAAAGAAATTCTGGTGCCAAAGGAAACAATTCTGGAAACTGTTTTGTGGAAGAGCAGGCCTGCATTTCCTGTGTAAAAGATATATACATTGAGCATGTTGGAAAGAACATTAGTTATCATAATTCACTAAACATCCTTTCGTGTACCATGACTACCAGTTATCAAAATACATCAACATAGCTTATTGTCTGAGAATAGATATTCAAGAATGAAGTGAAGAAGGGAGTGCTACTGGAATTTAGAAGCCTTCTCTGCATCTCAGACATCTCAAGAGACTTGAAAATTCAAGTAGTGTGCATTATAATTGCAAGCAAAGTGGAAACATTCACATCTTTTCACAAATTACTGGTCTTACCAGCTAATTGTCTCTTCCAGTCATTCTATCATCTCATTTCCTCACTTGATAACTTGTCAACTGCAGTAATTTTCTAGTAACATTATTTCTTAGAGATATTCTTTATGTTTATGACCCTTTTTTAGATATCTTCAGGGAATATCAATCCTCTCCTGATCTTTCATTTCCTTGGACACCACT